GGGTGTTGTATGCATACCTTTGACAAACAGGATGACCCAAAGATTGCATATGACCGTGGAGCGTCCGCCTATAAGCCAGCAACAATCCGACCTTTGTTTGTCATTGTTTTAACCTCTTGATATATTTGGAGGGCGGAAAGCAATATAGTGCATGCATACCGTCAGCAATTTGGTAGGACAAATGAACAATGCATTGTGGTTAGCGCGGTACAACAATTGCCTCTCCCCTCTCCCAGTGTGTTTTATATTCATTATGTCCTTCTCTCTTTCCCATGAAACTTGTGGCATATTCATCAGCAGTGTGACAAATTAGATGTGCAGTGAAATGGAGTATGACTGAGAGCAGTGGAAGATTAGATCCACTCCAATCTTACCCAGCAATCACTATCCCTTCATTTCTGTGGGGAAATACCCAAGGACGGGAAAGAAAATTAGATCAAATGTTATTGAAGAAAGCGCTGGAGTGGCAGGGGAAAGAGATGAAACGGAGCATTTTTCCATTTCCAAAGCATCTCTAGATTTGTCTTGGAATCAAATGCAATACGTTTTTTGTTCTGGAAATGCTGAATACATTAAACTAAACACTTATGTACAGTGTGTATTATAGCAGCCAAGTGATAGGCTCACTGCCTTTGTCATCATACATTTCTTTCTACATTTGCAAGGCGCTATGCTATTTGTGCATCTTGAATCAGCCTAAGCCAATTAAAATGAGGGACACAATTGAGCATCACCTTCAGTTCTCTGGTGCAGTTGAAATGCTCTTGGACGCTTTTCTAATGCTGCTTTCTCTTAAAGGACTTAACTCTTGAGCAGATCTCAAACTGAAGGTGCATTGAAAGAGAGTCACGAATGATGAAGCCCCTTTCTAAACAATATTGTTATAGTTTTAAGCAGAGTTAATGTATGGCTTTTCTTAGTGCCTTACACTAAGTCTTAGCCTTTCTGTAAGACATGGAGGAAATGCTGAGACTTAGGGGAATTAGATTACAAAAAGAGGCTGTGAGAAACTAACATGTAGGATCTACTAGAGAAAGATTTCTAGCTTAGTTCAAGTCTCAATCAAAAAAACGATTGACACAATGAGATAAATGTAGCCTATATACGTACATCTTAGCTCCCAGTGAAGAGACAATGTGTTGCAAATGTTCAGTCCAACATTAAGTGTTTCTTCAACAGCAATCAGCAGGACGTTTAGTGAACATAGCATGGTATTATGTCACTTATTGATCATTAAGTGTAGATACATTCATCCTTTTCTTGAGGCACGTGGACTTAACACAGTGTTGCAGAGACATCTAGTGGATGTTAACGGGTTATAACATTTCCTTTCTTCATAAAGGAACTGGCTAAAGCTAAGCATTTGTCATTCCCAAGAATGGACACATTTACAAGCAATACACTTTAGCTAACACTCTCATAATTACGCTGCAGTCTGTCATGTCAAATTTAAATGGTTATCTTAAATGAATCAACACGCGTTGTCCTTATTCTCGCAGAATCCATCTGTGGCAATGGATCAGTCCATTATTCTTTGAGGTATCTCACTACAAAGCAGCCCAGAGTAATCTGAAATAAGCTTTAATATGTGACTCCAAATCAAAACGAGATTACACTGGCCAAGAAGATCACTTCTAATGTTATTGTCTTTTGGTTAACAACGATAAAGAGGTGTACTAGATTTCAGTTTCAAACTAGAAATTTAAATATAAATAGGCCTCAATCAAATTCAGGTTTTCGTGACATGTCTATTGTCTATACTTCAGTTCACTTCATCCACATTTGGAGGAAAGTTTGGAATAAACCTGTAGGTTTGATTGAGCTAGCATCGTTCAGTTCTAGTCTCTCAATCATAATGCATACTTTACACTAATATAAGGACACGCTCCCATACATCAGTACGAGTGAATGAGTCTACACTTAAACTGAAATGTCAATGTCAAATCAAATGTTGATGAGTGTCTTTAGTTACATATTGGCTGTAGGAAGACAGGGATCAGTTTCACTCAGTTTAAGAAAACTCTATCTCGTCTTTCAGCCGCTATCAGCCTCCCATTTTCCTGTATGATGAATTAGGGGTATTTTGTGGTAAACTGTACTTAGTGAGCTTCTTACGTTACAGTGAGGGGACACATGGTTGAATCAATAGGAAAGGCTTTGATTTTTAGAAACAAGAGTCACACAAACTGAGAGGAAGCATTGCTCCGAGCCTTCAGAAAAAGCTGCTGCAGTGATTAAGTAATTTACCCATCAAACTGGACACCCTAATCCCCGAGGTGTCAAACAATTCACAGCTGACTTCTGAGTGTGTGTGTGGGAGTGTTTCCCCCCCCTAAACTTTTGAAGTTCAGGTTTCTCGGTAAGACAGTAGAAGCCAAGGTGTACTTTGTATCACAGAATATCACTGTTAAGAACCTAAGCATTGAATTAAGTTTTAAGGTCTTTTAAAAACCATCATTCGTAATAAACGTTCATCTTACTGAGAGATAAATGTCAAGGAATCCACCAAATCAAAATGCCTCTTAATAATTTGAGTTTGTTCACAAAACCAGGGGCGTTGATTTAGTTAGGAGTGTTGGCATGCTCTGTAACCATCAGACTACCAAGGCACTACACATGTGTTCCTATTTCTGTTCATGTATTTTTAACAACACCATTTTACATTCAATGTTTTGTTATTAGGAAAAAAGAGTTTATAGACTAACCTGGAGGGGTCCAAACCAAATCAGGCAGAGGCCAGCAGATATAGCAAATCCAAAATATTGGCCCTACAAGAATCCCATGGCATCATATGCTCCCCAGCAAGCCCTAATGTCATGCAAATACTAGAACACAGCAATGTCACAAAGAGCAGCTATATATAGCCTTCACCCTTAGGTGCAACCAACAACAGGGGTGCTTTAGACAAACCTTTCTAAAAAAGGCAAAACACAAGTAAAATTATAAAAAAAGATAACTCAAAGATAATAAAATTACATTAATTAACTTATGTATAGTAAATATATGGAAGAAATATACAAAAAATGGCATAAACATATATCTTACATACATACGATACGATATTACTTTATTAGTCAGATCAAGTCTGAAATTTGACTTGCGTCACAGCAGCTCCATGTCCAACACCAACAGACAAGTATCCAGACACAATACATGAAACACAAACAACAAACATTTAACATAACAGCACAATCAGTGAGAGAAAAGATGCTCAAAGAGCCTTCAGCGTGCATTTGATCTGGGATTTAGCTCTGTGTTTACTGTGAGGATTGACTGATGCACAAAGGAGTGCTTCAGTCTGACTTTATTGAATGGTGGGACCCTGTATCTCCGATCAGATGGTAGCAGTTCATATTCACTGTTCAGAACATGGTTTGGGTCAGAGATGATGTTGTTGGACAGCCTCACTAGGTTGTTATGATAGGCTGAGTCATAGAGTCTCTGACAGGGTTGACCAACAATCTTTGAGCAGATTTTTAACAGACAGGTGGAGCAGTTTTGATTTTAAAGCTGCTGACAAACACTTGTACCAGGTAGTATTGCAGTACTGCAGAATAGACATGATCCCAGATGTAAAGAACAACAGAAGAATTTCTCTGCTCGCCCCAAAAGACCTAAGTTCAGAGTTGTTTCTGCCTTGCTTGACCTTTTCCAGCTCTGTTTCTACCTGGACAATTTACAATAAAGGACTTTTCTTTAAAGTTACTTTGGTGTCCTCCCTGCTTTGCTTCCAGCGTGACAATGAAGGCAAGTAGTGAAAGANATATCCAGACACAATACATGAAACACAAACAACAAACATTTAACATAACAGCACAATCAGTGAGAGAAAAGCTGCTCAAAGAGCCTTCAGCGTGCATTTGATCTGGGATTTAGCTCTGTATTTACTGTGAGGATTGACTGATGCACAAAGGAGTGCTTCAATCTGACTTTATTGAATCGTGGGACCCTGTATCTCCGATTAGATAGCAGAAGTTCATATTCACTGTTCAGAACATGGTTTGGGTCAGAGATTATGTTGTTGGACAGCCTCACTAGGTTGTTATGATAGGCTGAGTCATAGAGTCTCTGATAAGGTTGACCAAAAATCTTTGAGCAGATTTTTAACAGGTGGAGCAGTTTTGATTTTAAAGCTGCTGACAAACAACCCAAGAAAAAATTGTTGTACGATTTTAAACATGTAAAGTCATAGATTTGGGTGATTGGAATGTCACCATACATAGTTGGTTGGGCTGTCTTTACTTTTCGGCTTTTGACTGTGCCACCATCATTTGCATTAACACATGCAGCAGGTCTATCAATTGAAGCACATCCCACCATTTTTCTCTGAATTGCATACAGCTATTTCGGTATAGCGTAGGCCTACATGCAGTTCTGAGAGTGCAGTTTACTAATGCTCAAATTTCCAATAAATAGTGTTTCTAAACTTTCAACATCTTATCGTCGACTTAGTCAATGGGCTGCTCCTCGCATTTGCTTTAAAATATTGTGAGATGTGGTTAAAAGCTAAAAAAAAGAGCTAGCAAATTGATCTTTAAGCTTAGATTGTTTCATTGCACATAACTTGATCCCAAAGGCCAAGAATGAATTTAGGTGCTCAAATTAGAATTTACTTCTTACTACCTGGATATCCCAACTGCCCTGTTTAGATGTGTCTGTAATGCCTCATCATGAAAGCCAGTGGTGTTGCTGTGAAAACTCCTCACTGTGGCTCACTGCATGAAGCCTTTAATCTGATTTTGATTAAGCAACACTGCACCTCTGCTCCTCTTTGCTGAAGTTGATATGTATTGCATTCAAATAATTAGCTACTACGTAAAGATACATTATTTTTAATTCAGTAATATAACAAGAAAACCATATTTCAATTTTCCTTCTATTCATTTTTCTCCCTATATACTATATTATATCATAAATATAGGCATTGATATCAGATTCACAATAGACGATTGTCCTGGCCCTGATATTATCTCAACATCAATAAAACATTTGAAAATAATAACAATGCTATCAGTGAAATTCATCTGTATATTCATTTATTGTGCATTTTGTTCTTTTATGTCAAATGTATAACACTCATTTGTGCGTGGGCCGTTGTGGTAGGGGGATCAAAAACGGTACTGTCAGGAACAAAAACAGAAAAGATTTAAGAGGCGCTGGTTTAATTACACAATCTAGTTATATGTGTATCATTAACATATCATTTTAAAAATAAACATCACAGTTATATTAATCCTGAAACCTGTCATAATTGTAACACTTACAGAATAAGCACAGTTCTCTGTTGAATAAGTACAGTTTGTCATAGAGTTTCAGCACCAGTCTCATAACCAGTGTTTTACACTGAAACTGAGATTTAATGTCTGTAACCCTTTCTCCATACCAAATTTCAGCCTCCTATGGTACCATGGGGATGCTATTGTCAGCCAACAAAAACACAGAGCGAGATAGCTGCTTATTGCAGCTAATATAATAAAGTATAAAGTATGGTTACATACTATGTGCTCCAAAAATACTATTGTTTTGTTCTAACTAGTTCCTTTTACTGTGTGCTGCAACATTCCTGGATGTCTAACTGACCACAAGACTGGACAGCTTTGCCACAAAAGAAAAACATAAAATATGAATCTCAGTTTAATACAGAACCAACAATTAATTATACATAAAAAGATATTTTTCTTTTTAAAGTTAAATAGGGGTGCACATCACACAACAGTAAGCACACATTTGGAGTCTCAAACATTTGTTAGGACTATGACAAAATGCACAATTTTGGATCATAATCTCAGGTCCAAGTGTCTGATTTTATTAGAATTTTAGTAAATGTTTTTCTAAAATGTTTGTGATTAGTGAGCAACAGTGGCCAATAAAAACTCAGAAAATTAGGATTAGGATAACATAGTCTGGTGTACAGTATAGGCAACACGTGTTGTTCTATATACTTCATTTTATGACAGATTATCACCTAGCAGCATGTTCAGTAAAGGAAGATATTTTGAAGGAATATGCTCATAGTTGTTAAAATGATTCCTGCTGCCAAAGCTGAGGCCTGTTCTGGAGCTGCAAGACAAGAGAGGAGAGGTTACACATTTACAATTTGTGTGTGTGTGTGTGTGTGTGTGTGTGTGTGTGTGTGTGTGTGTGTGTGTGTGTGTGTGTGTGTGTGTGTGTGTGTGTGTGTATTATGTGTGTGTGTGTGTGTGTGTGTGTGTGTGTGTGTGTGTGTGTGTGTGTGTAGTAGAGTAGTGTGTGTGTGTGTGTGTGTGTGTGTGTGTGTGTGTGTGTGTGTGTGTGTGTGTGTGTGTGTGTGTGTGTGTGTGTGCATTTTTATCATAAAAAAGTTATACTTGCCCAATGCTTTTAATTTTTTTTATTCTCGATTCGAGAAAAATGATTTCTCCATAAACACCTCAACTCTTAGAGAGTCTCTCTCTCCTATCTCCGACATAGTAATTGAACAGGATTATGTTAGGAATCTCTTAAAACGAGTCAATATTAGGAAGGCCCCAGGTCCAGACCATATTTGTGGGCGTACACTCCAGTATTGTGCTAGGGAACTTTGTGGTGTTTTCTACCATATCTTCCAATTGTCACTTGAGAATAGCCAAATTCCTGATATGTGGAAATCCTCAACTGTAATTCCCATCCCTAAGAAACCTCACCCTAAAGTCCTAAATTACTTCAGACCGGTGGCTTTAACGTCATTGGTAGTGAAAATGTTGGAGAAAATTGTTAAAGGCCATGTCATTAGTGAACTTGATCCACTACAATTTGCATATCAGGCAGGGAGAGGCGTAGAGGATGCAAAGCTTTTTATACTGCACAACCTCCACAAACACCTTGAAAAGCCACAAGCCCATGCTAGACTTTTATTTGCTGACTTTTCTTCAGCATTTAACCCAATGCAGCCGCATCTCCTGGTGGAGAGCTTATTATGTCATTTTAAGCTGCCAGATCAACTTGTTTTATGGATTTTAAACTTTCTAACTAATAGAGAGCAGAAGGTATCTGTCAATGGACGCCTCTCTGACTCTTTCATCACTTCCACGGGCTCGGCTCAAGGATCCGTTCTTTCGCCCCTACTTTTTATAATGTACACTAGGGATGTAACGATATATCGAAAATCGCGATATCGTGGTAAATAAATGTCTCAATGCCGTCGTGAGACTGACAACATCTAACGCAATTTTTTTTAATTTATTTTAATTATTATTATTTATTTATTTTTAAATATTTTTTTTTAAACCTTTATTTAACCAGATGGTCCCATTGAGATCATCAATCTCTTTTTCAAGGGAGACCTGTCCAACATGGCAGCAAGTAGGTTACAACATGAACATAAAACAACAGATAACACAAAAGGATATCGTATTTAC